CACACACACACACACACACACACACACACACACACACACACACACACACACACACACACACACACACCCCGAAACGCGCGCGTATTTGCGATGTACGCATCCGATACTTACAATCATACATATACACCTTTATCTGTTTTCACGTACTCGTAATGAAGGAAATCATAAGCTAAACTTACCTACCTCTTGGTAAGATGCTCGGACGATAAGCGAATCCTTCAACATTCCCAGAAAAAAGTTTACTTCGAACCTTTTCGTCACGAATGATAAAATGCGACGTGATCGGATCACGAGGGAGAAATGGAAGCACCAAAGAATTAGAGGTAAAATGCCAAAACCACGAATAATAGTATTCAGGATACACTATCTTAACATTCATACGTTTAACAGGTACATCCAGTTGGCAACTGTACGCGACCGATAGAACAAGATCACCGAACGTTAGACTACAATGAAACGTTTACCTGTTCTAAAGAAATACATCACAATACATCAACAAGCAAGCAGAAGCTTCGTACGATTAGTCGAACACGTAGCGCCATCTTGTATTATACATCGATGGTAGTAAAGCCCATGACACAATGGCGCATTCAGTACTACAACCGCTCACTGAGCGCTCAGTGAGCTCTTGCATCTGATTGGCATATTCCGTTAGAACAAAAAATATAGACCAAACAAATACAAGAGCTCTCTGAGCGCTCAGTGAGCGGTAGTGGTACTGAATACACCCAATGGGTGCATCTGATTATAGGATCTCTACTCCGCAACAATTGTCTGCTGAACACGACCATTGATTGCGTTCAACAGAGAAAGCAGTTTTGCAACTGTTGTAAAATTCTTCAATGGGATTGTCACCGACGAGATATCAAAAGATCTGTTTTCTGTGACTGAATTAGGCTGCGGTCCACTTGACGCTACAAACGCTTCGAAGCACATTCTTTGATTAGTCAATTCGTAAAATTCTTTGTTCTGATTGGACGCTTAAAAGCTTCGAAGCGTTTGTAGCGTCAAGTGGACCGCAGCTCTAATGTACATTTTCTGAACTTAAAATGAGATTAGAGAGCGCCTCATAGGGAGAGAGTGGCAAACTGCATCACGTGAACCGTCTCCTCTGATTGGACGCAGGCATCAAAGGCTCTGGTTGTGTTCCGATAGCTGTGTCGAAAATTTTTTTTTTAGTTATAAGGTTGGTAGCGCTGGAACTAATAGCGTTTTCGATTGGGAAAAAGTGCGCACCAGTGCGCAGTCAGTTCATATTAACACTGGACGAGTTCCATGGGTTGCATTGAAAAGTGCAAATTCAAAAGAACACGCCAAGATTTTCAGTGCTAAAGCTGAAGTGCCATTTCGAGTTATAAGATTGTAAGGACTTGACTAGACTGCAGGAAAAACGCAGAAAAATAACCTCGACATCTCATGTTCATAACTTTAAGTAATGATTTTTTACTATATGTAATTAAATAATACAGTGCTCGGCACTAGATGCACATTTCGGGCTGATTCCGGCGAGCGACCCCCACTACCACTCGAGTCTCAGCGGCCGAGCCGCCGACCGCTCACGTGACGCTCTGGCTCAGGAGCGTCCCTATATCTTAAACGTGCTAGGGTCGTATCTTCCGTCATTGAAGAATCTTTCTTGCTAAATAATTTTTATTTTTTCAAAAAATCAAGTACTAAATTTTCTATTATTAATGTATTAATATGCTCTATATATAAT